AGACATTAGAATAATATACTAAGCTCATTTAGTCAGATATCAGACATATCGAGTATGACTCTAAAGAAACGATGTAACTAGGTAAGTGTGGGCAGAAGGTAACATTTACATTCAATAAAAGATCATGTCATCAACTACGGTTAAGAGGCGAGTTATCAGGGTAGAGAAAGACTCACCACAGCTTCTTTAATACATAAGGAAGGTTTCAACCGTTTAATAGCGATGGCCTATGCGAACTTCAAGGGGCTTGAGCTTGTCTGATTGTTTATTATTTTGAAGGAACTCAAGATATTGACATGATGTCCTGTGTCAATCAGATGTCTCATGATTGCGCTGCTCAAAGAGTTACTCCTCCTTAATCACAGACTCTTCGATTTGTGTTCTTCGAATGTATCTGCTACAACGGCTACACGTAAATTGGTTTACAGAGTTAGAGATAATAAAGGAAAGGTACCTGTCGACTTTTGACTGAACTAATGAACAATACTTCTTAGCACACAGGAACCAATCTAACAGCCAGTAATTTCTTAAGTCATCTGTTGGTTATTCCTGCAATGTCCCCTACTTTAGATTTGGGTCGTCGGATATACGCCTTCCATTCACTGTGGTATGTTTTATTTTTATTTTGTCTTCATTTTTACCACATCTGTCAGGAAATCTTCGCAAAAATATCCATTGTATCGTATCCTCCGCAACTTCTCCTTCAATATGTCACTGGGGCATATCACTTTTGTCCTGTGAAATGTTTCAACTAGTGCGCACTTGTAGTTAGTAGGTAAAAATGTTGAAATTCAGTTAACCTGACAATTACTACAATAACGAAACGTAGATGCGGTTGGATAAACAGATAAACTGAACTACTTTAGATTATCACCTGTCATTGCATAACATAAAATTTCACATAGATAAAAAAGATTTACGCTAAAAGAGTATTTCTCATCACGGCCGGTTAGACCACAGGCTAAAATGTCGCCATGACAGATTTTCTATTTAATTTCAATATGTGAAAGAATTAAAGAGCAAAGAAATTGACTGGTGAGAAGAATACATAGCTGTGAGAGTCAATAAAATTTTCAGCATAATGTACACTTCAAGGAACTATTTACATCCACATCAGTATGCTCAACGTGAACCATAATGCCGAAGGTCTTAAAATATAAACTTTTAAAGTTCGAATTAAGATCATGAACTTTATATCTTCGATTAATTTTAGCACACTTATTAATTATTTTAAAGAATACAAAATGCCAGGGCTGATATTGAACAGAAGCCATGCTTCACTGATTCTAGTCAGTGCAGATTCATAGCACTATAGATTCAACTTCTTCCCTGAAAGCCAATGAATACGCTGACATCAGGCACTGCAGTAGATTATAATTCCATAATGAAGTAATCTTTTTTGATGTAACACATGATGACACAGTATTGCTCATCTACTGATGCCGTTTCTAGCCTAATTTATTGCTCCTAATCATATCAAGGTTTTCACATGACTCTAAGATTTTCTTCATTTAGTCCCACTATTTCCTATCCTTTGATTTTATTGGTAGTCATATTTTCCATATCTTTGTTGGCTGTAGATTCGATGAGCGAAGATTCAGCGATCAACCCTTTCCTCAGCCTAATTATATTACTTTTAAGAACTGTAGATTTGTACTACTGTACTGTGTGGTTGTGTGTTAATGCATGCACTGCAACTGCTGAGTTTTTTTTCTAACTTGGTCACTTTAAGAGACAATTATCCTACACTAAACTAGGTCCTGATAACCCAAATGAACCTGATACGTTCGACGAACTCATGTAGTTGACCTCGTAGTCATTGCAAGATATTTTGTATATTAGATTATTTTTTCTAATTGAGTCAATAGGGTCATTTAGCCTACAGAGTTTTTCCCTAAGAGAATCCTATGTAGAGTTTCAGATGTTATTTCCTTATGTAGCAATTCTGTGGATGCTTTAAATTCCTTCTTATTTATGTTATAGTTTCAGTACTCTTTCTTCTTTCATTATGAGTTTCCTAGACCCTCCTAATGAATTTTTATGGAACAGTTACTTAGCAGCACATCAAAAATCTCAAATAATGAAATAAAACGGATAAAAGGAAAACAAAAATGATTACTATTGAAAACCACGATAGTAAGCAGACAGAAAGGAGAAAAAACCCAGCCTTTATCACTGCAGTGGATCGAATGCCTAAAGGTTAACAAATAACAATGATATTCTCATCCTCCAGATCAATAGTATTACTCACCAACTTCATTCAATAATTATGCTTATCGTTTCCATAGTAAAATCACTGTTTACCAAAAGTAGAAGTAAGAAAAACCACATAGTGAATTACCTCTTAAAAATACCACATACTGTTAATTTATACGAAAAATGAGTTCAGCTGTTTGTTATGCATAAAAATCAATAGCATACAAAAAATCAGCACAATGCAATTAATTTCAAGATAATGTGTGGCTCAGTGCCAATCACATAAATTTTTACTCATAAAATCAGCTGAACGAAAAGAGTTATTGTTTGTGTTAAAATCACGACAAAAGCTTTAATTCCAATCAGTTATTTGCTGAAGAAAGATATCAAAGTGGAGTTCCTTTTGGGAATTCGACAATGAAGTATCCATACTACTCTGTGAAATAAGTAGCCAGACAAAGAGGTGCAAGAAGGGCAGAGATTAACACATAGAAGGTGAAAATGACCGACAGGAAAACGGAAGTAATTGTAAAATATCGGTGACTACACATTCCAAAGTAGTAATAATAATAATAATAACAACAGACTCGTAAGTCACTTCACTCCATGTATGTATAATAACTGTGAAAACCATGTAAGGATTTGCACAATGGCTACGATTGGTGAATGTATTCATACTTAGAAAATTTAGGACTTCACGCAACTTTAAATAATAGATGAGTGATAAGACTTGGGAAAAATATACTCAGTTACCCACTACGACGTATTTCCTCAACTGACGACTAGGAAATAACTTCTCGCAGTGAAACACCATCCTTAATACACAACTAAACTCAACGCTACTAAACAGCCTATAAGCTTTACACCGGATGATACTAGTAAAATTCGAGATAATGCGCAGAATCACAGCAAGTGCTCAGCATGATACCATAAATAGCAATTTAAAAAATAAGCGAAATGACCATTTCGTGCATTTCCAACCAATTTAAAAAAATTGTCGAAATTAGGGTGCTTTAATTTTATTCGGCTCTACGAGTTGACTCTGATACAGTACGCCGTTGATAAGTTCTGACCGGTTTCAACGTAAAACTTTGCACCGATGTGCAGCAGTCGAGTCGCCACACTTCACTTAGCACACAAACCAAGAGAAGTAAAAAGATATTCAAAACAGGTCGGTCGGTTTTCGACATAGAACTTTGCACATATGTGCGGCAGTTCAAGTCGCTACACTCCATGTACCACACAAAGGAAGAGAAGAAAATAGGAGAAATGCATAATAGAGACAGTAAACAGAGGTGTGAGACAAAGGAATAGTAATAACGGAGAACAAAACAGTTTCATTGGAAATCATAAGTCACAAGGAGTGGATGCATCTGCACAAACCATTGAGAACGATTTTGAGCCATGTCACCAATCGTGTCCAACCATTGGTTTTTACCGTCCCGAGGACCCCAACCAGGAAGTCTACATCTTCCTACGTGGCTTAGATTAACTGTTGTGGATTTCATTGATTGGTGCCATGTTTTGGTTTGACCACCGCTAGCTCTTTTCCAGCCTGGCCCTATATCAGCTAACATTGCCCGTCGAGGAAGGCGATGACTAGGCATATGTAGCACATGTCCTAACCATCTCAGTCGATGTAATTTCACAGTCTCACCGACTGATTTCCCTGCCTTACCTAGCACTTGACGCCTAACCTCAATATTGCTCACCTTATCATACCACTTCACACGGGGGAGATAGAACGCAGACACCTATGATCAAAGACAGCTAGCCAACCTTTTCATGTCTTCCACTCTCAATGGCCATGTCTCACACACAGCCATAAAGGAGGACGGAGGGCACTGCTGATGAGCAGTACACACGCCCTTTGGTCGATAGCTAACCGGATATCACGTCTACGCCAGAGACCACGTAAACTAGCAGAAGCGAGACTAGCCCTCTGTATCTGCCATGCTGAGATTTCGTCAGCGATCAACCCACTGGCGTTGACTGATGCAACTCCCCGAATAAATGAAGTGGTCAACACGCTCCACAAACCACTTCACTCCCTATTTCTAAACTAGGAATCAATGTAGTCCAGACTAGTCCTGTAACATTATCTTACATTTGGCGGGAGCGAATCGCATACCAAACATTCGCAGATTGCAGCTCAGGGTGTTGATAAGTTCGGACTTAAACAGCCTAAATGGCATACCTAGATTACTTTGATCTGGCTAGCAGGCAAATGATTTGCAACTAAGCATACCACGTCTTAATTGCCATTCGCGTGTTGTGATCTGAATATTTTAGATTCCCAAAGGAAACAGTGGTGAATTTCCACTTCAAACTGTGAAGAAACCGATACTACTTATAAAGAGCTTAGTATATAGAAAACCAACAATAATCAGACGTTGAATTAACTTCTGAAGGCATCCAACGCAGAGACAGACAAACTCCTGTTTGTTAGTCATATGTACGAAAGAGCTGTTCTAAAGATACAGTAGCTCAAATTATAGAAAAGCGGATACGCACAGGCATTTAATGAATAAAACATGCCAGAGGAACAAACACAAAGGGTTGCAGCCTTGTGATGTAGTAAGTGGTTGACTAAGTCGTTTTCATCCTGAATACGTAACACCTTGTTTCAATGTCAACCGTCTTTCTCTGTAGATAATCTTTTTTTTTGTATTGCGCAACGATTTTCTGGAAGGCACTATACTGCTATCCGATTATTTTTTTTTCACGAATCCCCTTTTGCATAAAAATAAATGTCCGGCTTTTGAAAGGGACATGATTACATAGAAAGTTGTGTTTTTTTATTCTATATCGTCAATAGATTTGGCTACACATAGACCTATTTCAATCTCCTAACACGCCTAGTTACTTTTTTCTCTCTAGCTCTGAATACTGGAACACTTCAAAGAAAGAAAACAAAGCGAACATTATAAACTATCATTATCTCAAATAGAAAAGAAATATAATGCATTAAAAGAGACAAACTGGAATAATAAACAAACTTTTGTAGAAAAAAAGACAGACAAACAAACAAACAAACAGCGGAAGAATTGAAAGTGGGAAACACTCATCCTAAAGGAGCTCATTCATTTCATAATACGAATTATTATTATTACTTTTTTGAAAAGAGGAATGTAAAATAATGAGATTTAAAAGTGTAACAATAATAAAAAGAACAAAGATAGAGCTGAACCATCATGCAGATATGCGCACAACATAAAAACAGACAGGGGTGTCATCAACTAGAACATGCAATATAAACATATGAGTGTTTCATATTAACAAGTAAGTATTGGTGTTTAATTCTATCACAGAAATGAATAATAAGGTAAGAGGAAACAAAACAAAAAAGAGAATACAAATGCAACTTTCATTTTTGACTAGTAGTGATTTCAAACGCTGCGTGTGGAAAGATAGGAGTGACAGCTAATAGAGTATAAATTAATGACGTTCTGTGCGTTCGTGCACAGAAAAACAAAGGAGAAATTAATATAGTCCAAGTAGGTGCTATTTACACATATTCTGACCATTGCCGTATGAATGCATAGATATGCATATGCGAACACAGGAAATTTATAATTTATAATATATCAGAACAAGATAAAAATAAATATATAGCTATAAGGAAGTTGAAATAAATATATGCACAAAGTAAAGTAGAAATCATTGAAAATAAATAAATAAGCAAATAAATAAACAAGTAAATAATATCCTAAATACATTTTCCTTAAAAAAAAAGCAAAGGAAATAAAGTGAATAAGTAAAACTTATATGTACACAATCAATCAATATTATCTATCATGCGTTTACAAATTAACAGATAACTTTGAAAACAAGGCAACCAACAAAAAACAAAGTGAAAAAAATGAAATATATGTCCAAGGAAAACATCCACAGGAATTAACATGTATGCATATATATGCACAAAGTGTCTGAGATTATTGACATAAACTTTTCGGAATGTTCCTGTATGTGTAGTAGAAGTAACAATTACAGGTATTGCAGAGGTTGAAGGGGGGAGGGGGGAATGAGAAAAACAGGGGATAAATGCATTAAAAATATCCTGAAACATTCGATCACACTATCTATCCTTAACTGACGAAGCTAGTAATCATGTGTATATGTAGCTATTTGAGAAATAAAACATTGAGATATGTTGCTTTTATCCTATACATACAGAAATGAATAAGGTTGTCTATATAAAATTTAATAGGAAAGGAAGATTGCAATGCACACGTAGGCTCTGGAACAGTAAATGAAACAAAATGGAGGATGGATAGATGGGTGTATATGCAATTGTTGTGAAGCATGAAAATTTTAAGGTGTATGCGGTGGTATGACTAGGTTGTTACTGGCGTACTCATGACAGTGGATAGGCACAGACTTTGATCTATGCATAACTTTTCGTGGAGAATTATGTTTTGACTCCTCCTGCCATGGTAACCAGTGAATGTCAGCTTTTTGTTCAACAGTTTGCCGCTGGTCAATATTACCAATAGATGATCGGCAAGATGATATGAAAATACTGTTATGTGGCGATGATGAGACAGGCTGAGGTGTATCCGTTCGGTTAGCTTGTACATCTGAAGAATCGGATGTAACTGGTACACGTCCATCGACTAAATATAAGCCCTGAGAATGCCGCTTACGTAAGCGATGCTGGTGATAAACTCGATGACATTTTGCACATATAATACACGGCACAGCAATCATGATAAACGGAGCAGCAACAAGCAGTAATATTGTTAGTCCGGTGAATACACTGACAACCTATGGAACAGAAAAGAAGACTAAATTTAATAGAACATAACCAAGTTGCACAAGTACACTGAAAATAACTCGTTTAACCTAACTTTTCAATGAGTCGTTTATCAATTCCTTTAGGAGAACAAAGAGATACAATAGAATTCCAACTTTTCCAAATATATAAAAGTGCAATAACAAACACCATTCGTGCTCGACTTTTGATATCACACCTGAATAAAGCAATTTGTAATAACTGTGACTGAATAGGTTGGCAAGTTTATTGAAATCTGAGTAAACCAGTGACGACAAACAGACATTTCATTTGTTAAACATGTCACGGAGGTTCACACAGATCACAATAAATATCAACATTTGCTCGGGAAGAAGGTGAAATAAACTAGAACAAGGTCGACAGAAAAACCATACAAATAAGCAGTAGAATGCTCGCCAACCACGCAGGTGGTTCGGCGTTCGATCCTCGGCCAACACACTCCTTTACCTCGTTAAGCCAGAAATGACTGGTAAAGAGGGAAGGTTAGGCATATAACATATATATATATATATATATTACGAGCTAGAGTTGCTGAAAATAGTGTCAGAAATAAATGTCTATCCCCACTAATAACTGATAAAGTATGCAAGAGGATTTATCTTGAAATAAGAGAACATACGTATTTCGGAGTTACCGACAAAGGAAAATATTTCATTCCCACCTGTGTCAGATTCCTAGCCATTTCATGGAATAATCAAGAAATAAATAAACTGTAGAATTTAAAAGCTATTTGACCCTTAAAGTATCTCCAACTACAATTAACCAAAGAGAGTGAGTATTAGCCGAGGACTTATATTCGCCTTATTTAGTGCTGTTTAACATTCTTCAACTCAGATGCAAATAAATAGCAACGTTTCACAGCTCACAAAATGTATTTTCCTACAATGGTTAACAAAGTAACACAGAATAATTAGTTATCACAATAGAAATTTTAACTAGAATAGCGTTAAGTAAGCAATTTGAACTTATTTTTCCGTAACGCTAAGTAGTAACTACAGAAAGAAATAAAAACTGTGAATGAAACCAACAGAAACCTCGACTAAATTACCAAGCAGTATTATAAGCCCGATAAAAGAGGCAAGTTTGAGGAGTACGACTAGCAACCCACCACTGAAAAAAGCAACCCCATCTCCCTTGAGATTCCGAAACATAGAAAACAGGAAAACAATGAGCTTATTCTTCGCTGGAATTGAGAAAACTCCTCAAATCGAGAAAAGATGATGCCGGTAGGAGCCTTCAGGAAACCAGCCAACCGACGCTTTTTCTTCCAATGAAAGCAAGAGTAAGTATAGGGACATGGAATGTCCATATCATGTGTTGAATTTGCTGGTAAGACTGATGTGATTACAGGAGAAATGAGAAGATATGGCATAAAAGTGCTAGGATCCTGTGAGAACAGATGTATTGCAAATGGACTCTCAAAATTGTTAACTGAAGAGTTAATAACCTACTCCGATCACCCAAACGACAACCATGAAAACAATAAAGAAGTGGCCATCTTGATTTTACCAACATCTTGACATCAAAACTCGTCTCAAAACGAAGGAAAGTTTCAATTGAATAAACACTGCTGCGCACAGCGCGACAACCCATATCCAGTGGAGAAGAGGGAAGACTTCGTCAAACAACCGAAAACAATAATGGACAAAACCTCAGCTAGATGGGGACATCAAAATTCTCATGGGTGATAAGTATGTTAGCCAGACCGGGAGCACCTAGCAGAGTAAAAGAACTCACCATAGATCGATAAGCGCTCGTTCAGTGAAATGATTCAGAGCGGAGAAGTCTCCTCAGACTTCTGAGTCTTCACTGATTTGGTGACTGGAGGCAGTGTGTACAAACACATGGATATTCACAAGGTGATTAGGGGTTTTACCAAACGGACACACCAAAGTTCAGATGGACTTCATCTCAATCTCAGGAAATTGGAGACGCATCTTATTGGAAACAAATCGAGAAGAAGAGCAGATATAGGCTCAGTTCATTATCTACTGTAAGGAACCTTCGTGATTAAGTTGAAAACCTTCAGAGAAGCTGAAAATAGACCACAATTGAAGTTTAACACTCAGAAACTGAAGGATGAAATTACGAAGGATACCTTCACTGCAGTCATCAGGAATAAGTCAGAAGCCTTGGATAAAGTCACTGAGGAGACCTGCGTGGAGGAGCACTCGAACTATGTTGGAGAGACGTGAAAGGACACCTTTTAGAATTTACGAAAGCTAAAGAAAAGTTGTTGCTTTTTGCTTTACTTCGGCTATCTCCTACAGGAGGATGAGCCGGCTTCATGAACATCTCGAATCATCGCTGCACAGGCGCAGCGATCTAATACAAGAGAGTTCATGAAGTTTCATGGGAATTTGGTACGAGTGATGTCCCCAGAATCGCTCGGCCTTTTGTTTGAGAGTGCAGCTCTAGCCTTTACACAACCAAGTGTGACCTGCAAGGCAGTAGGAGTGGAGTAGAGAGTCCACTATCCATTGGCAGCCGGTGACCGGAGTCCAGTTCATACGTCTTTTTGAATGGGGCCATGCATCCAGGACATCCAACAAGCCCTTTGTCCATACGTCTGCCGGTGAGCTCCAGTGAGCTTCATACGCCAGTCGTTGGAGGTTTGGAATCAGGGTTTAGCCATCTCCCCTAGACTGTCATCCAATGGACAGTCAACCCGGTGAAGAGCGCCGGGCATCCGCTTTCGCCCTCTCACTTTGGTGAAAAACACCTCCGCCACGTGAAGGCAGTGAGTAGGACTTCCTCAGGAGAGGCTATGTAAGACGCCCGGTCATACGGGAGCATTTCAAGAGGTGTGCGGAGGGGTGGCCAACCCGCAGCGCAAGGCACCCACCCCCAACCATCCTGAGGCTTTGGATCACTTAATTCTTGAGACCCCAAAATGGTCCCGTAGGTTGAAGGGTATAGCCATAATACATCAACAGGTACAACTGATTAGTAACAATAAGCCCCTATATTGGACTAATTAATTCTTAACAGTTTGAGAACACTATATGGGCACTGTTGGAGAATATAATTCCATATATGAATATTTTTGCTTGATGAGACAAACAGTGATATAGGATTACTTATTTGGTGGTGACGTTCACAGCACAATTTGCCGAGCACTCTGATATGATATGTGGAATAAATTGTGCTAAAAACGTCATCAGTGAATAAGTAATACTGTATCACTGTGTATATGAACAAATATAAATTCTCAATTACTTTCGAATAAACTAAAATAGTTGGAAATACTTAAATGTGAGCCAACCAATTGTCTTTAAGTCAGTTTCTGAAAGATGGATAATTGCAAAGTTTGTTAGTTACGTACTTAAAAACGCAAACTTCGTAAAGTATGAGCACCAAGTGGTGAAGTATAAAAAATAACAAAAGAAATACAAAATAGTAACGGAACAGCAGAATGAAAGCAGGTAAACATAATTAAGGATATTTGGCAGGTTGTTCAGAAATAGGAAATCGCAGCATGCGCGCTAGTGATTTCGATTCTGAGACATGTCTGACTACATCTCAACTTCCTGAGTGGCGCGATTTTTCAGAACTCATCCAGAGAGTCATGATGCACCCACATATGACAGTCAATACAACTATCTTTCACTCCACACCGTTAGCTTTTCCCGACCACTTCTAAGGTTGACAGACGTTGAATAGTTTGAAAGTACATTCGTAGCATGTATCCAAATCACTAGGTTTATAAAAAGTACTTCAAAACATGCTCACAGATCCCAATTTCAACCAACAAGTCACAGGTTAAGATCATAATTCAGTTGCAGAGGTTTGGACAGAGAAATTATATCAGAATACATACATTTAAATGATGTCACGGTAAATTTTATACTTCTTTTCTAATTTCAATATCATGTAGTAATACAAAGAAATCAAAAACAAGCAATAACATGACCAATAGATGACACTTCAGAGAAATATTTTACTCCTAAAGTAAATTTGCTTACATAAACACGATGACCGATAACTGATGCACGAGAATGTCCAAGTTTACCTTTACAGGCACCATCATCATAATGTTGCAGTAAGAAATCGTCCTACGGAAAAAGACAATTAAGTAATTTAGTACTATGAAAACAAAATACAGATATGTAATACATGAAATCAAGAGACTAGAAGTCAATGATTACAGTAACTTCCAGACTAGTACACACACAAGCCAAAATCTGCTCGAATTTCTCATCACCTTAAATATTCACCCGCCTACTTGAAACCAGTCTTTTTTCGACAATTTAGATAGCATAATCAAAAAGATAAAGTCAGCCTGAAACCGTGATGTATTGTGAACACTACATCTTCAAAAACTATCTACCATGAAGTTATTGCGAAAATTAGATAAGCCCATGATGTTGAGTACTAACGATATAACAATATTAAAAAATAAAAGTGAATGAATTCGGTACTGTTGATGAAATATTCAATATCAAACAATAAAACTAGGAATACATCAATCACCATATAAATGTAATTTCGGTGAGCAGCATGCTCTGTTGGTAACTTGATTTTATGGTCATTTTTACCCTACTTTAAAAGAGCAAAAATCTCATTCTACTTTGTTTCATACGGTAAATACTTTCACAGCTATCTCATTCAAAATCACTTCATCTTCACACAATATGTCTGAATAGGAAAATATGTGATCACATCGTTCACACTGTGTTATGACAATGAATTACACCTTTTAAACACGCTTTAGTTTGTCACCGTTGTCACGTAAATAATAGACGAAGAGACAGACAGTAATAGTGAGTATATTATTATTGTTCCCTTGGGTTCCTAGTGGAACATAGGGCTTCACCTACACGTCTCCACTTGCTTCTGCTGTACTTTTCACTTGCATCCATGTTAGTCCATGCTGTTTCAGCTCTTCTTCACACGATCTCCTCCATGTCACTCTTGGACGTCCCACTCGTCGCTTCCCTTTCGGGTTCCACTAGAGCTATGGCCTGACGCGCGATGTCACCCAGCGGCCTCCTCAGCGAGTGTCCAATCCATCTCCACTTTCTCCTGCATATTTGTTGGGCGATTGGTTCTTGTTTTGTTTCTTCCCATAGTTTCTTGTTGGTGATTCTTTCCGGCCATCTAATCTTCAGTATAGAACGAAGATAGCTGTTGATAAAGGTCTGCAACAGGCTGTTGGAAATAATCTTTGTGACCCGCCAAGTCTCTGATCCGTATAGCAAAACTGACTTGACGTTTGTGTTGAAAGTCCGAATTTTGTTGTTCATGCTGAGTGACGAAGATTTCCATATTGGTTTCAGGTTGATGAATGTGTTTCTCACCTTCCCGATTCTCGATTTGACATGCTCGTCCGTTCCTCCTGTAGTTGGGACAATGCTCCCTAAATAAGTGAAAGAAGTAACCTCTTTCAAATCCCTCCCGTTGATGGTGATTGGCACTGGATGTTGCTGCTGTTGTTGTTGTTGGCTGGTTATTTTCATAACCTCCGTCTTGTCTATGTTCACCTGGAGTGAAGTAAAAATATTACCAATTTTAAGAAGTTATCAAAAAGAGAAGCTGGTTAACAAAAACAGTCATCTTGGATTGGTGCCCATCTCCAACTCGTGCCCAACCCATTCTTGTTCTAGCTAATACTGTTTATCAAGGCAGGCGATAATTTCGTACGGGTAACATATATCCTATTCTCCTCAACTAATGGAGCCTCACAACGACATCAGTCGACTTCCCCTCCTAACTTAGCACTCTGTGCAAATGTACACCGAGAAGAGATACCTATGGTCAAAAACCACTAATTCCCACCACTTTTAATGACCACGTCTCACAACCATAAAGTAGAATGGCGGAACGAAGCGCTGCACACTACACACGTCTTTAGCCTGAGTTTCTATTCGGTTTTTATATTCTTCTAACTCAACCATAATCAGTTTCATGTACTAGACAATGATGTGAGGTTATGTGCTAACAATACTTCACCAATATGCGGCCAATGTACAGCTACACTAAATACCATAAAAAAATAGGTGAAGTAACAAGATTTATGCGGATACTAATCACGACAAAAAGTTAGTAAACACTCCACTCACATCCAACGATGTCAAGCAATACCAACAAAAAGTATGTTTACATGACCGGCACATCATTTGGGCACAACCTTCAATGCGTTCAATAGGTACTAAACAGGCTGGACAACGTTTCAACCAATCATCTGGAGAGTACGGAGGAAACCCCACAGTGAGAACGGAAACATCAACTTTGTCGCTGACATCGTTATTGGATAGGTGAATGCTAGAACGTGATTGTGAATAACCTCCTTGTCTCATTTTAGATCGTGAAAAGGATAATTTCTTCTTATTTTTCTCAGAAGACTGTCTCAAGGATTTCATTTTACTGATGTATTCCGATTTGTTTTTGACCAAAACACCGGGATTTGAGCTTGCATAAATACCAATGTGGTTAGTAGTACTAAAAGTATCCACATTTTTTTTAGAAACTCCACGCAAATTCCGTTGGCTTTTTGAATGGGTGCCTAGTTTTTTACTTTTATTTCGTAGTAAAATATTCTCGGTATACTCTTCGCACACATAAGGTCCTCTTCCTGAATGCCAATTTAGATGGCAACGAGCACAGAATTCATGAGAACACTGTTTGCATACAATCCGAACAGCCGGACGAACGGGAGTTACTTGACACGTCAATGGTTGCTTTTCAGAGGCAAATGGTAGATTCTTTTGTTCCATGAATTGATCCATAGGTGACTAAACAAAAAAAACTTGAATTAATGTAGAAAAATGAAATTAAAACTCATTCACAAGCTTTCAAGCTTACAGGCTTTTTACCCGTCATTGAAATAGCCCATTCTCTAGACCGGAAATGGGTATTGCAAAATATGGTAATTTAGACGTCCTCTGTGAGGTCATGTGATACTAACATGTTTCGTCAACCGAAGAAGGAGAAGTTCAGATACTCAATACTATTAAACGACAATAATTTAATTCTCATCTAGATATGCGGAAATTAATATCAAACGAAAAGAACCTTGCTGAACAAATCTAATCAGAAAATACGGATTTTTGAAGAAATGTTAACACTACAAAGATAACAATTAGACATAAAAAGGTCGAATGACTACCACGATAAATCTTAGATCGTTCACAAGACTTATAACCTAAAAAGGATAGAAATAACAAGAACAAATTACGAGGTATTAGATAATTTCAATACAAAAAGTATGAACTAGAGGGTGGTGTGATATTTTTAGCCCCTATGTATGAGAGCTTTGTGGAATCGAATTCATACGAATCAGTCTCTAATTTATTTATTTATTTAAACGCATTAAAACTTGGTACAATATGGCACCAAGAAGGATGCGCCACAAATCAGTCTCTAAGCAACTTATTTGTATTGGCATTTTTATCTTTCTTAAAAAGTAGTGACTGTGAATATTCACTGAACACTTTTGAATAAGAGACTTACTACAGCTTGTTTATAATCAAAGTATACAGTTACTGTGATAGTTGAATCATTAAGGCAAACACGACGCCACTATTTAAAAAATATATCATGCACACATAATCAGAGTTCCTCAAAATCTGAATCCTATAAATCTTAAGAACAAATGAAAGTAGATTTCCAACCTCATTGTGTTCACCAATTTAAGGACTAGGGCAATATTTTCGGAATTTTCTCAGAAGCAAACTGAGTTATCTAATTTTGTTAATGGTAGGAACAGACATCCAAGCTTGCTAACGGGAAACATACTATTGAGAGACGATATGAAATGGAAATACATAGGTATCTTAAACGCAATAAAATCTGCTGGATATGTATCCTAAAGTTAGTTGAAGCACTTGGTAACGTATACTGATTCACAAACATTTTATCATCAAACTGAATCTTCCCTGCTAAGACCATGATTATCATTACGTGACGCCTTAATTTATGCACTTATCACCGGCAGGAAAATAAGATCAAACTATTTGAAACTTAACCATCAATAATTTGCTGAAGCAGATTAAGGAAACTGTATTCTCCGCATGCACGAACTTCAAACACAAGTGCAATAAAACGTGCAAAAAGTATCCAAGAGAACGTTTTTGTGAACTTCACTTGATTTAGAAACTACTTTTTGCATATAACATTCCTTTGTTTAACTACCACTACAAGTATTTACGTGTTTACCCCTACCCAATGAACAAAGTTATATTCTACTTGCAAAATGTGCCCTAGAGCATATACATTCAGTTTAACTCTGAAGGTATAAAGAGGAAGTCTTTGAACGTTCAATCCTAAAAGGTTCAAGCTATTTTGACTGATCAATTAATTCAATCAACTAAAAAATTCCCAAGATGTACCTAATACCCTATTCAGAAATACTCCTTATTGATAAAAAAAAATAATCTTTAAGGTGCTTGTCCATCACTAAATACTGAGTAAACAGACATCATGGTGGTTTAAAAATTGTTAGAACTTAAGTCTATGCGGTTTTAATTTCAGGAATGACGCTCAAATCTTTTAATCACTTGCGAATCATAATACGGATAGTTATAACTTTCTTCATTACAGCACTGACGTTTCAAAAACCATTTCTTTACTAAAATTATTCACTGAGTACATAAATATATATATATATATATATATCATTTACAAAGGTTGAAGTGGTTGCCTATTCTACTATCATATTTTGCGACCAGCACCACTCAACTGTCATGCACACAACCGAAGCCAAATTTAAGCGAATTGATGACAAGACTAAAACTCCTGTTTACTTAACAGGTTTTGTCATTATCCGAGTATTCTTAACTTATGTGGGCACTTTTCCCACATTGTTCACTTCATTAGTATCTCATTTTCACTTCAAAAATAATAATGGTTATATGAATAAAAATATTGGATTATAAAACATAAAGAGCGAAAAGTGAGTAGAGTGAAGTAGTCTTCAATACACACTATTTGATTGAGTAACCAACTAGTACTTACCATTACATGATCTTCAGTTTGACTCGTAACAGTGTTAACAGACTTCTCATAAGTATGATTTTGAGTCTTTGAGCTGCTGTTGCCATGAAAAATTGCACTTTCAGAATTGGAAGAATTATGAGTACCAGAGCAGAGATATTTCTTGTACCATCTGGAAAAACGCTCTATGGTACGTCTGTTTCCCTTGGCAGACGGATTTGAACCATTCGGTATGGTCACCTTTAGATTAGTAGGGACTTGACAGACAGCACCACAATTTACCGCTGGGCAAAACGTTAAATTTATATTTTGCTCAATTTCTATATTACGACGGATACAAAGAATAAGTGGTTAACTAACCTCGCTGAAGTTTCTTCAGAGAAAACCGCTCATAAACATCAGAGGGTAATAATTCCTTTATCTAGAGTCATTTTTATCGAAGTTACTCAGTTATCTCACCTCTGATTCCGTCAACCATCCATTTTGACTACACTGGTAACTTGGACATGCACAGCTGACATCAATACGATCCCGCAGAATAGAAGTAACGTATAATGTCAAGCACTGCAAGGGAACAAAAGTCCATTTCAATGTGACAAAATTTACACTAGAATTATCACCACAGTGAACTCACGTGTAAATCTTTCAAGCATGAACATTTTAGACATTTTTTAGGCTACAACAGAAATACATCAAGCCATGTGTAATGCTGATTTTGTGCCTAATTATGATTCAAACCTGTAGAATGCATACATTAAATTAGTAGCTACAGCGTTCTTATGGTCTTCGGTCTATCTCATGAAAAAGTAGCGAATCTTGAGTTAGACTGCAAGATAATTACGATAGCACTTTTCGGCTTAATAACATGTAGTTATTTTGAAATGTAATTGTTACAACAGGTAAGTAAAACGACAACTCTGAAATCTCTCCTTAATTGAACTCGAGGTTGGAAGTGTCGTAATGCTTGGAAGATAGATACTTGAAAGTTGCTTATAGTTCCAGAACAACTACTAATGGATGGTATATTCCCTGGTCAGTTCTAGAAAAAGTTCAGAAACACATCCTGACTCCTGAGAAGAGTTTATACGGTCATGTTAAGGTAGATGTGGATAACATGTTGTTACGATTGAAGTGACTGACTGGATTAATTTTTTGGGACAAAACAGACCCTGAGTATGAACAACTGAATTAATCAAGCAAGATTAGTAAACGGCTGGCAAGATTGATGAAAGTGCTGCCACATCTGGATATGGCAGAAATCCGGTCTCGCCTAAAATATTTATCTGCTAACCATTTGCAAATTGAAACAAAAAGTGAACAAAGACTGATATTCTACTACGTAGGTTAGCCATTACGATTACTAGCGTTTACTAGCTACAATAGCGTATTGGAACTGATTTGTATATATATATATATATATATATATATATATATATATATATTCATATAATAATACAATCAAATACACTGCACCAGGTATTTGTGAATAAATACCGACAACTGTATGCCAACAACTTGCGTTTTGTGACTAATATTTCGACAAAACAATAAACACATCGAACGTTATGATACACTGATATTTCGGCGTTTACTTTACCTTTATTATATCATGAGTCACCAGACACCACAAATTCCAGAAAGAAACAGAAGCGGTATCGACAAACCAACTCCTGAAACCAGTGTTCGCCTTAACACCTTATTAGCCATTTACAGTGCAGCAGAGAACCAATGCCTACCGTCATGATAATTATCATTAATGGTTACTAATAGAACAACTAGTAACTCCCTGCATCCATTGCTTACATTTAAATTTTACAAACTGTAACTCGTCAGTTTATTCTTAAACCCATATGTAAGCACAAAATCCCAGTAAAATAAGAGATATTAACAAAAAAAATTACCGGATTTCCTGATTTGTTATAACAGCTCTCAGGTGAAAAACGCACTCAAAAACGAAAACTAACCTCTCGACAGAAGGAACACCCACACCTAGAGAGTAGTAACATATTGTCAAATGGGACTGATTCAAAACAAATATCACATTGTCCATGGTCGCTCTGTATCATCCTACGGTCTAACCTTGACCTCCCGCCATCGGATGAATTTGCGCGAATTCGACTCTATTGCAACATCTCAATACAGTTTCAATGTCTCAATGAGATTCAGATTTTCAGATTTATTGGTTGAGGATAGAAAGCTTGGAGCCTATGTTAATGGTTTCCTAGTAAATTTCTGTAGTTGTCCAAACCATTCTTGAATGAATCAACTGAGGTTGCAGACACCACTTCTTCAGAGAGTCGGTTCCAAGAGTTTATGATTCGGTGTGAGAACCAGTACTCCAAGCAATATGATTTCTTCTCGGCTTTTGAACTCTACTGCTATGTTCTCCAAGGCAAAGGAAGATGTTGTACGAGGTCCATATCCTTACCGTGGGAGAACACTTGGTCCAGAGTTGAGGAGGAGTGCCTTGAGTCATAGCGCGTGAGCTTAATGACATATTGGACTACGGCTAGCGATATACTAGATTCCTGCAGTTTATTATCAAAGGAGTTGACTGAATATGGCATTGTAAGGCCAGTACAGTCAACTGTTCGGGCGTCGAAGTCGCCGACTACGAGACTTCGACATTTCGAGGTCCAGGAGCCTAGTTTCTCTACTAGGAAGTCATCTGCACTGCAGTCATGGCTGCGGTACATAGCAATGAGGTCGATATCTTGGCCTATGCATTCAAGTCTGCAACGTAGAAGTTCGCTTGATTCACTTTTGTGAGCGAGTGCTTCGATGCTACGCACGGTTAAGCATTTCTTGAGGTAGATGACTACGCCACCTCCTATGCGGTTCAGTCTTTCCCCCAATGCACTTCGAAGTTTGGCAGGTTAACTTCGCTTTCAGCGACATCGTGTGTGAGCCATGTCTCTGTGATGATAATTACATCCGGATTTCCGGAGTCCATCATACCACCCAGCTCAGTCCGTTTGTTCAACAGGGCGTTTGTGTAGCGAACTGTCAATTCAGTTTGGTGCTTCCCCGGCCTACCCACAGAGGTTTCGGGATCATTAAACTGCGAACTTGGACAACCCGAAAAACCTTGATCTTAAGGTTCTTTTCGCCGTTTCGGCGTCGTTCGCTTAATTCTAGGGCAGCAGACTGTCTTTTGACACGGTCTGCTAGGCTTAAGTCGGCACCGACATATATGCCTGATCCTTTAAGAATTTTAGAGTTGCTTAGAATGGCATCCCTCTCTTCATTGGAGTTTAGTACGACTTTGAGGAGACTAAAAGGCTGATTTGCTGTAGGGTCAGGCTGCTGGCCGATTCTATATACGCTATTGCTATGCCTGATACTGTTTTTGGCAGTAGCTTATCTAAAAGGGGCTTGACCAAGTTAAGGTCATGCTGGAATCTGGCCTTCGGGTCGGAGGCCAGTGACTCTTCCACTTTCTGGAGAATGAATGACCTGTCAGAGAGATCAGGTTTGCTTACCGCGTCTTTTCTGCCCTATGGAGTAAGTGTCTTTCTGTCCTTCGTGGGCAGTGTAGCCGATGTGTTGTCCTTATCTCGCTTTTTGCGAGAGACTACATTACGCTATTCGTTGGCGTCCTCCTCACTAATCGTAGTCGATTTTATCTGCCTGCTATCCACCAGTGTAGATGAGGCTTTATCTGCAAGTCCCTGAGCGACTTGAGCTGAGGATTTTCGACCCTTGTTACGCTTCTTCTTCATGCCAGTCTTTCCAATACTGTCACTGGAGGGCTGATTCGGTATCGTGGGGGCAGCCTGGGTATCATAAATATGGTGGGTGCTCTTCTTTGCTGAATGGCACTCACACATTGACAGAGACGCATCAGGAACATGTATTGTTTTATCGATGGCGCTAGTCACGTCACCGGTGTTTGAGCAGTAGTCGCTCTTCTCCTGGGGTGGAAGACCCTTGCAATCCATGAGCTTTAGAGCCCCACTGAAAGTGGCAATGGCTTCAGTTATACGAAACTTAGTCATTGCACAGCCAGCTCGCCAGAGTTTTGGAGCAGCGCTTGTATGCTGCAGGAGTTACGTTTGTCCACATGCTGTGAAACCATCTCTTGCAGTTATCATACTGTATTCCCTCATCAACTGGAAATTGGCACACAACCCTTCCACGGCGATTCCTTTTGATCGACATGCCTTTTAGAGCAGACTGGGGCAAAAAGATTTAAATATGTATTTGTACATATAACCTTTAAAAATCAGTAGTGAAAACCAATGGGTGCACAAAATGGATATATATATATATTACTATTATGTTATAAGAACACAACTTCCTATAATTAAATAGACTCAAAACTCAAACGTAAAACTAACTTCGATCAGAATGAACTGATTTAAAGTCAATCTATATACTTCTGCAACGTATAACACAACAAAAGCGGAAATTAAACAACAGAGTGTAAAATTCACTCCCTTTTCAAAGATATTTGAAGAACACCTCATTCCACCAACCTCAAAAGTGGACAGTTATTAACACTTCTTTATTCTACCGAATAAGCTAACGTTACTTGAAGTGCTGTAATACACACTCAGGAGTGTGACCTACACTTCAAATGTAGCTGACAGAATAATTCCACTGAGACTGATTTTACAGACCAATAAAAGAAATAATTCGCCAGCATCCCGTACTACAGGGAGCAAATATAAAAACCTAACACGTGTGTGTCACAGGTACATGCAACAGTTCTTAAAGTTATCTAGTAAGTCGCCTTCGAATCAATTCTACCCTGTTCTTATAGTAATAATAGCTTTAGTCTGAATAATGTTTATATCACGTACAGAATTTTCAGTAGATTTTTTGTGTAAGTTTCTTTTTGCCCGGGATCTTTAGCTATAATAATAACTGAAAGTAGATAGCGTGTCATAGTGCTGTCTGATTTGAAACACAAACCAATCACTTATGATAGTCCTTCTTTGTGTCCTGCCATATATGCATAACACTTCGTTGAAAGATAATCAAGAAAGTACCGGAGAGCAGTTGAAGAACCAAGAACACAGCTGAACAACTAACTCCATAACAATGTCACGTCACAAAACTTATATTTTACTTTTAGGGGTTAAGGATAAACTACTTAACTTTGCTTGCTCCGTGTGTATCTACCATTTCAACTGCTCCTGTGGAGCCAGTTACATAAGGAGCACAATCAGGCATGTTTATCATTTGATCTCCGAATATCATGCTGGTCGTTTAAGCAAGCAACAAAAAAGATCAATTCTCAGCTCAATTCTTGTGGATGTCTTGTGGATACAGAGCAGAAAATTGACGTTTATATGACCTTTAAAGTTATCTATTGCATTCTGACCAGTCTAAATTTTGCCTAACGAGTTCATCTGCTACGTGCTGGGGAAGCTGTAGGAATCCGATTTAAGAAACACGGCCTGCATATTCACAAAAGGTTCATTCATACACTTTTCCTACGATGGCCATCAATGTTTAAGCTATTTTTAACTGTAGAATAAATTCTCCCGATTTTACCCGATTTTCTATTAACTAGTACATTTTTCTGCTTTTTACATCTTATCCATCTTAAACCATGATTCCAGTGATATTAACAAAGTGAAATTTCTAAAAAAACATCAATTATGTTAATAACGACTATTATGGAATATGATGTATATACATGCAATGTATACATTCAATAGGCAAACGAGCAATCTGTGGAAAAGAATATATTTTACTACAACTTACACTTGCAATAATAAGAGTTAGGAAAAGGCAGCCTCCCTGCGAACGAGCAGCTCTCAAATGGTATGTTTCGATAACCCTTTAAAAATTACTTACATCTTAGCAAAGAGCAGCTGGTTGTTTAGGGTCAGGAACTTCACCTGAATTGTGTGGTTTTATAAGATTTCTACAACTCAGAATGTTGCAGTCACACATAAATCCTTAGTGATTAAGGAATTCGGAAAGATGAGAAGAGAACAACAGCTTCCCGTAGTATTATAGTCTGTCAGTTGATAATTTGGACTATTATTATTTTCACAGAATAGTAGATTACTAGGGTTTCACCTGTTACTACACATTTTCAAGCTTCAACGACTTAAGAAGACTATAGAACGCAGTACCATAGTTCAGAATGCACCATATTTTAGGTCTACTCGTTTTCCAAGTGGTGCGTCTGAAGACTGCAGTTCCGATCCCACATAAATATGAATAAATACTTTCCCAACCAAATGTACATAACGAAGTGCACTAATCATTCCCTATGAATTTATGAAAATATAACCATTATACTGAAGCATGCTTAATTAGGAAAAATGCGCAACAAGTTACATGCTAGAACTCGTGACAAGTATGAAAATGAGTGTATACACAAATCTGGTGATAAGGCAAACGTTCGCAATTTCAGACCTGTAAATATAACCCCAATTATCTCGGGAATCATGGGGAAAGCTGGTAAAGAGCAATTGTCAAACTGTCTACTTAGTTCTCAACACGGATTTCTCAAAATAGGTCCTGCACTTCTTGTCACTCTGACGTTTTCAGCTGCATCACTAGTATTCCCGAAGCGTGTAAACTAGTCACTGTTCTCTTCTTTGAAATATCTAGGGTATTTCATGTGGTATCTCACAGTATTCTCTTTGGGAGGTTGTGCTCATCTGGAATTTGCAATCCATTAATGAACTGGTTAAAGTTATTTCTAAGCATCAGGGTGCAAATAACCAAAGTCGGGTCAGTATTATCTCATCCTAGGCAGATCACAAGTGGGGTTGTGCGGGGTAGTGTTCTCGGGCTACTTCTGTTTACAGTATACACTAACAGCATTCACCTCAAGTGAGCCATTCCTACATACTGACGACCTCAAAGTCATTTACTCCTGTTATAGTCATGAAAAACGAGGGTAATAACATGAATTTACACCTACTCAAGCTAAACTCAATTTCAATAGGTGATGGGACATACCACACCTGCTCGAAGAAGTCTTATATTGTACCTATCCATAAGTGCGGGCCTATAGCTGATATCAACAACTATCGCCCCATCAACATCACGTCTGTAGTTTCAGGTGCAATGGAAAAGATAGTGAAGATTCATATTATTCAGTACTTGCTGTCAAATGACCTACTATCCCCATCCCAATACGG